CACATTCCTAGCCCTTTTTATATTTTTTATGTATTAAATTGTTTAAGGCCTTGCTAAGGTGCTGAGGCTGGCTTTTTAAATTCATGATCCTCCTGCCTCAGCCACTTGGGCTGCTAGGATTACAAGTTTGTGYCACCATGTTTGGCATATTTGCCTTTTTAAGAAATTAAGTGTTTTTTTTTAACAAGCCAGTTTTTCAGTTTAAAGGTCTGATTAATTGATGAAAAAAAAAGTACTTTTCTCTCATGATTAGGAAGTCTTACCAAACCCAAAGTTTTGTAATTTTTTTCTTTTAGGAGTTAAAAGGTTTTAACATCTTAAATTTAGAAAGCCCGTGATCCATTTCAAGTTAATTTTTTTTTATTAAGGTGTGAGATAAGAATTGAGCTTCACAGGGCTGACGTTGTGGCTCGGAGGTAGAGTGCTCTCCTATCATGCATGGGGCACTGGGTTTGATCCTCAGCACCACATAAAAACAAAATAATGTGTCCACCTAAAATTGGCAGTATATGTACAGATTTGTTTTTATTTTCTGTTCTATTTGACCTATTTGCCTTTCTTTATACTAATACCACACTAGATCACTGCCTCTTGCCCTATTTACTAAAGTTTTTATTTGATTTTTTTTCTTTTAGCTAGTACAACTTGTATGAATTAATGGTTCCTTTGATTTCTTTATTTGTTAATTAGTAAATATTTAAAGTAATATGCAGTGTAGGCTTGTGAGTAGACAAACCTTTAAAATATTCTAGTGAAGSTTCTGGGAATTTGGAAAGGTTTCTTTGGTTTTGCAGTGGTAAATAAATGTGAGTTAGCTAGATCTTACTACAGGATCAAAAAATTTATGGTTTAAGTGTAGCAGGTATTCAATAAATGTTGATTTAAGTAGTATCTGACACTAAAATCTTTCTTGCAGCCTGGATGTGGATAGTGAAGCTAAAAGACTATTGGGATTAGGACAGAAACATCTAGTGATGGGGGATATTCCAGCAGCTGTCAATGCATTCCAGGAAGCAGCTAGTCTTTTGTAAGTATGGTGTGTTTACTATATGTAATATTTTCCCAATAATCCTTAAAGTTGTTTTAGCACATAGTCCTGAGTTTGATCCCCAGTGGCACCACCACCAGGGGAAAAAGAAAGTTGTTCTATGGGGGAAAAAATGAAGAGCAAGGGGAGCAAGGGCTGGGTTGTAGCTCAGTGGTAGAGTACTTGCCTAATCTACAAGAAGCTCTAGTTCAATTCTCAGCATTGCAAAAAACCGAAAACTGATTGTTTTTCATGTTGGAGTTTACTCCTGTAAGTATAAAACCAAATATTACTGAGCAATTTCAACCTTTGATGATATATATATATCTTTTGGCAGTGTGGGGATTGAAGTGCCTTGTGCATGCTASACAAGTGGGCTACCACTGAGCTACATCCCAGCCCTATTTTCAACCTTTGATTTTTCTTATAAGGTAAATTGTATTCCAGTCACAATTAATTAAGGGAACCAACTTGGCCTGGCTTATTCAGGGCTTTCCCAATTATTTCTGTTTTAAATGGTGCTATGTATCAAACTAAGGGCTTTGCACATTAAGGAAGTGTTCTACGCTCCATCCCTTCTCAAACATTTTAATGTTCCAACAGATCTGAGAGAGAAAAAAGGCAGGGAGTAAGTTACATTTTTTCCCCCCATATTGCATATTTATTTATTTGTGACACAGAGGATTGAAACCACTGAACTACTCCCCAGTCCTTGAATGTTAAATCTTTAAGTCTTAAACACTTTTCCTTTACAACTTTGAGCTAGTTTCCTCTAATATGGTATTATCAACAGCAGGTGAAGATCAATCACGTTTCCTAACTAGTTGGTTACATTTCATTCACCTTTTTAAAAAAAAATTTTTTTAGTTGTAGATAGACGCAACATCATTTATATATATATATATATATATATTGCTGAGGATCTAGGCAAGTGCTATACCACTGAGCTACAACCCCAGCCCCTTCATTCAGCTTTTGTGAAGAAATTTTCCTTATAAAAGAAATAGTCACGGGGCTGGTGATATGCTCAGTGGCTTGCCTAGCATGTGTAAGGCCCCAAGTTCAATCCCTAGCACTGCAAAAAGAAAAGAAAAGAAACAGAAAATGTGGTAGAGAGATAAAAAAGGGAAGAAATACCCATAATATGAAGCATTTATGAGTTTCAGTCCCCCCCACCGCCCTCTTGGTACCAGGGATTGAACTGAGTAGCAGTCAACCACCGAGTCACATCCCTAGCCCTTTTTTGTATTTTATTTAATGACGGGCTCGCTGAGGTGCTTAGGACCTTGCTAAATTGCTGAGGCTGGCTTTGAACTTGTGATCCCCCTGTTTCAGCCTCCTGAGCCGCTGGGGTTACAGGTGTACACCACCATACCCAGTGGCTTTCAGATTTGAAGCTCACTTTTTTCCTAGCCCAATTCCTCCCAACATCCAGAACTGCGTATTATTCCTGGAGGTCCACAATAATCTCTTGTCTTGTCGATGACCTCTGGCCTCTTTGATCATCTTTACCTGGGATTAATGAATTAAGCTTCTGGTATTTAGTGGTGTGCTAGGGTTGGAGCTTACTTCTTATCTGATAAGCATTTAGATGTTTTTATGTTAAAAAAAATGGGTTTTTAAGTTCATTTGTCTAGATGCCTAGAGGTCTTTTACTCTATGAAAACTGATCTCATTGTCTTAGAAATCTCTCTTCCTTCCCATTCATCACACTTAATGTGATTTCTTTTTTTGTTTTAAATTGTAGATGGACACAATATCTTTATTTTTATGTGGTGTTGAGGTTTGAACTCAGTGCCCACACATGCTGGGCAGGTGCTCTACCACTGAGCTACAACCCCAGCTTTGTCTTTTTTKGGGGGGTACCAGGTATTGAACTCAAAGGTCACTTGGCCACTGAGTCACATCGCTAGACCTATTATTTTATTTAGAGACAGGGTCTCACTGAGTTGCTTACCATCTCACTGTTACTGAGGCTGGCTTTGAACTCTAGATCCTTAAGTCTCAGCTTCCCGAGCTGCTGGGATTACAGGCGTGGGCTACCAATAGTTATGTACATTTCCATTTTACAATCTCATCTTTCTCAAAACTAAGGCACTGAAAATGAGTAATCTGCCAAGGTTGTACAGTTAATGATTAGAGGTAAACTTTGTGCTCAGGTAGTCTCACTCCAGAGATCATGTTCTTTATATCATGATGCCTTTCTGTAATCATCTCTCAATGTCTAGGTCCCAGCCAAGGTCATCTTAACTATTATGGTCCATTATCTTGTGGCAGGAAGAATATGTATTAATATAATTTGGCTGTTAGAGTATACGCTAACTGTAACAAATTGGTATCACTTAGAATTATATATAGATATAACATTAACTGCATGCATCATTAATGTTAATAACATGTTCAGGGACTGGGGTTGTGGCTCAGCGGTAGAGCTCACCTAGCACATGTGAAGCTAGCATGTGTGAGTCAAGACAAATAAAATAAAGCTATTATGCCCAACTATAACTAAAAAAAAATATTTAAAAAAATAATAACGTTCAGATTTTAGCTGTCTGTTATTTTTGTAGAGGTAAGAAGTATGGAGAAACTGCTAATGAATGTGGAGAAGCCTTCTTTTTCTATGGAAAATCACTATTGGAATTAGCAAGGTATGTTTTTCTTAGATTATTAGTAGAATGTTTTGCATAACTTCAATCTATTTAAAAATGAAAGTTTCCTTGTTTGCTAAGATTGTTTACTAGCTTTGTGATTTTACATGAGTAAGCTAGACTTGTTTTACCTAGAAAAGTGGGTTATGAAAGAGCTTGAAATATTGATGGAATTTGTAATGATTTAAAGAATAAAATTACTGGCCATATGTAATGGCATGTTCCTGTAATCCCAGCCGCTTGGGAGGCTGAGACAGGAGGATAGTGAATTCAGAGCCAGCTCAGCAAAAGCAAGACAGTAAGCAACTCAGTGAGACCCTATCTTTAAACAAAATACAAAATAGGACTGGGGATGTGGCTCAGTGGTCAAGTGCTACTGAGTTTGATCCCTGGTACCAAAAAAGAAAAAAAAGAATAATTGAAGTTTGACTTGTGATCATTAGAAGCAAAGATATTTTCATTTGTGAATGGGTAATAATTGATCAAAGTTCAGTATAGAATAATAAACCCTTAAAAGCACCAATAAGGGCTTATTAGAGTTTGAAGTAAGTAGCATGTGAGGATATCTAGTAAATAACAATCCCAAGTAGTCTTTCTGTTGGAAAGTTTTTGGATATTATTCACCAGAATTTATTAGTCAGAATAAAGTATATTGAGGATATGCAGCCAAACAAATGATGTGTCATTTATTTAATCTCAGTTCTGGTAAGTTTGTTAGAGCACTCTGATTTGCTGTGAAACTATTGCCAGAATGTTAGTGTTTATCCAAAGAAGTGGGGGTAGATGAAAGTTTGGGAACTACTTATGGCTCTGTTTTAAAAGAATGAATTTTTAAAAAAGAATGAATATGTCTTATTTATACAGGACTCGTAGTGCTTTTCACGTGGCTTAATGAGCAGTGCACTCATTTCTTTCAGCAGCCTTAATTTATATTAGAAGTTTTGATAATTGCCTTTCATGGGAATATGTATAGTATTATATTCCCTGAACTTGCTTACTTGTCTGTTGCTTTTGTAATGTAGGCTACATCGTTAAGTTGTAGCTGTTAAACCTTTGGTGCTTTCTCCTCTTGTTCTCCTAGAATGGAGAATGGTGTGTTGGGAAATGCCTTGGAAGGTGTGCATGTGGAAGAAGAAGAAGGAGAAAAAACAGAAGATGAGTCTCTGGTAGAAAATAACGATAACATAGATGGTATGTGGAGTTGCACATGACATTTAAGAGACGCGACGCCTTGTATCTTGTATACAAGTGATGGAAATAGGGCTCTCCCTGCCCTGGCTGGTCTCTCCTAAGATGCTTGGGGTTATACCTGCATCTGGGAGAGACTGCAATGGGGGTAGCCCATTAATGAAAGTGACAGCAGGCTTTTGTGAGAGGATAACTTAATTTATTAAACAAATATGGTCATTTAAATAGGTGTTTTAAATATTAAGACATTAAATGTATATTTTTTAAAAATGGTTTGTGAAATTCAATTAATAGTAATGTTTTTGGAGCCCTTTTACATTTCTTGTGTTTAAGAAAAATTGAATATTTCTCAGCTGAGTTTGGCTACTAGCATTTTACAAATCAGGTAGAGGTTTAAAATAAAATGAAAATACAATGAAATGTTTAAAATAGAATGAAAAGCTTGGCATCTTTTACCTAACTGGTAATCAGAATGCTCACAGCAAAATAATAGAGTATCTAGTTTAAGGTGCTTTGGTTTCCTTTGCATTAAGTTACTCTGCTAGCTGAGACTGTCTTTCCTTTGCTTTTCTCAAGGGGGCAGATAAAAATTTTTAGGCCATCTGCTAAATCTTAAACCAGGCCATGTGAGGGTTTAAGGGAATGTGTTTTTAGTTTCCATTTATGCTTTTATCATTAAACTCGAAGACATGTTTATGCTTAATGTTCTTTAACCATGTAGAGGAAGCAAGGGAAGAGTTGAGAGAACAGGTTTATGACGCCATGGGAGAAAAAGAAGCCAAAAAAACAGAATGCAAGTCTTTGGCAAAGCCTGAAACTGGTAAAGAACAGGAGAATGAAATGGAGAAGGGTGGAAGAGAAGATATGGATATAAGTGAGCCTGCAGAGAAGTTACAAGAAAAAGTTGAATCGACTTCAAATCAGTTAACTGAAACTTCTGAAGAGGCAAAAGGAGCATCAGCACCAGAAGGACTGAATGAACCTGAGGTCACTTCTGAGAAGCCAGAACAGGAAGCATCAGATGCTGAGGAAGGAAAATCAGTTTCTGGAACTGAAGTTGAGAAAGAAGAGTGCAGAGAAAAAGGAGGTCAGGAGAAGCAGGGAGAAGTAATTGTGAGTATAGAGGAGAAGCCAGAGGAAGCTTCAGAAGAGCAGCCTATAGTGACTCTAGAAAAGCAGGGCACTGCAGTGGAGGTAGAAGCAGAATCTGTAGAGCCAACAGTCAAGCCAGTGGATGTGGGTGGGAATGAAGTAAAGGAACCAGTAGCTACCTCTGAAAATGACCCAGGAAATGCTGTCCTTGAGCAGCTGGTAGAGCAAGAAGTACATTCTKCTGAAGAGTCAGAGGTGGTGACAACAGAAGCTGAAGAGGTCTCAGCTGCAGAGGCTGGATCAGWGGTCTCTGAGAAGCCAGGGCAGGAAGGCACAGTTTTCTCTAAAGATGTTGCATTCAATGGACTGTCAGCTGCAGGAGATCAGACTCCTATTGAACCAAAGACTTCTGCAGAAAGATTGATAGAAACAAAAGATGGCTCAGAGGTAGAGGAGAAGGTCAGGGCAGAGCTAATTCCTAGCCAGGAGGAGACTAAGCTGCCTGTAGAAGAGTCTGAGGCAGCTGGAGATGGGGTTGAGACCAAGGTAGCCCAGAGGGCCACAGAGAAAACACCTGAAGACAAAGTTAAGATAGCTGCTAATGAAGAGACAGAAGAGAGAGAAGAACAGATGAAAGAGGGTGAAGGTAACCGGGATATGCAAGAGCTGCAGTGGGTGGAGTACATTCTGGATTTGACTCACTAATAATAATGGGTAAAAGTCAGCCTTCCATTCAGGATTTTCCGTCTGCCTTAGGATTAGGAAAGGGCTAAAATGAAAATGGGATTAGTTTAAGAAGGTTGAGATAAGTTGAGCAAGTTAAATCAAAAGCAGCAAGTTGTCTTCAGCTGGCTTATAAACTAATGCTTTTACTAACTGCAAAATAGGTCTTTTACTGTGATTTCTGAAACTTGGCTAGCAATCAGTAACTTGTACCATACTAGCCAATAAAAGAATGGAAAAGGTGGATGAGGGGGTGGGGTAGGTAAGGAAATAGTGGGCTAGGCTGGCAGAGAATGCTGAATGGATGTTCACTTTGCATGCCTCTGGATTTTTAAATTACTGTTCACAATGTACTGTTCACATGGTTTCTTTTCTCTGCATTGGGAAGCAGGAACAGCAGTAGAATCCACTGAATTTGGTACATTTAAGCAGGCATGCCATTTAAATGAAGGCAGTTAATCTTGAATGTTCTATCAGAGTTAAAAAAAAATTCTGGCATTTCTCCTTTAATCTTCAGAAAATCTTTAAAGATTTACTGACACTGCTAAAACAGTCCTTCTCCTAGGCAAAAGAAACAACAAAAAACTTAGCAGTTAGCCTTCTTGCTGCTTTCTCCCCTCATTTCATGTTTGCTTTGGCTGCTGAACTAAAACTTTTGTTACCTAGAATGTTAACAAGTATGAATGCTTTTCTATAGTGTTATTAAATGTCTAATTGTGATTCATTCTCATCAAGATACATAAGCCTAATTAGTAATTGGCACGTCTGACTTAAGTTGTGCTATTATTTGAGGATTCTGCTGCATTTAAGGTTCATCTAACATTGGTGTTAATAAATACAGGTATATTCCAGTTAATTGCTATTACTCATTAAAATTGCCAGACTACTTCAGGAGTACTCTTAAGTTAAAATCTCAGAGTCTTTTCATTCTTGGAGATTATTCTGGTAAACTACTTTTACCTATGTGCAAGCCTCTGCACTCCAACCAGCACATGCTAGTAACCAGAAGGGAATTGGCTAAATGGTAATGCCATTGGGCTTCTCTCTCTTTTTAAAATTTTATTTTTGTGATATTGGGTATAGGAATGCAGTACCTCGCACATGCTAACAAGTGCTCCACCACTGAGCTATATTCCCAACCCTTTTTGTTTTACAGTCTTGTTAAATTGCCAGGGGTTGTCTCAAACTTGAAACTGCCTGCCTCAGCCTCCTGAGTAGTTGGGGTTATAATAGCTTGCTGGGTCTCTGTTGGGCTAATTTTCAAGGATTAGGAATTATTTAGGGAAGAAGTGCAGAACTGAATTATTCAACTTTTAAAAACTTCTCACGTCTTGATCTTTTTCCTTCTTTCTTCCTTTTTTTTGGTGTGGTAGTAAGGATCATACCTAGGGCTTCATATATGCCAGGCATTTCCTCTACTGCTGAGCTGTGCACCCCTAGTCCTTGATCTTAGTGACCAAACACTGGAAAGATTTTCTATTTCTCTTATGGACTTTGATAAACTATCAGTTTGTAAATAACATCATACAACTCATTTTTTTTTCCTAATTCTAAAATAATACTATTTATCTTCAGGTTTTCATTTTTTCCAGTACTGGGAATTGATCTAAATCTTCAGCCCACTCTTTTTGAGACAGAGTTTCACAAAGTTGTGGAGGCTGGCCTTGAACTTGCAATCCTTATGCCTCAAGCTTCCTGAGTAGCCGAGATTACAGGCATGCACCTCTCCTTACCCTAAAACAATACCACTCAATAGAGAATATTATACTCTACTTATATTGAGGCATAAAGGTCATGTAACTTGATTATGGTCAAGACTGTAGTACTAGATATGCCTTGAATAWACTATTCTTTCCACACTACCTCATATTGAAGAAGGCAGCTTTTACCCTTTCTCTTCTCCCTGTCTCTTATCAGAAACATTCTGGTCACATTTTAAAAATCCCTTCAAAAGTCTCAGGCAAGTATTCTAGCAACTGAACCGTAAACCCCCTGCCCTCGCACTTTTAAAAAGCTGTGTTTTAGTGGTTTTGTGGCAGATAACTTATATATGACAGTAGAGAGTCCCATATTTTATAGATGAAGAAATGGGAGAAAGAAGTAATTTGCCCTAGTCAATAGAGAGGACTAGGTGCTCAGTCTGGCTTTAGGGTCCAGCTGATTTCTGTGCTTTCTTCCTCTTTATGTGACAACACTAGTCCACAGATTTTTGTTTGTTTGTTTTATTTATGTGGTTCTGAGGTTCAAACCCAGTGCTTCACACGTGCCAGGAAAGCACTATATCACTGAGACACAAATCACTAGCCCACAAATCTTTGCTGAACCACATCCCAGCCCTAGTCCACAGATCTTGAATGTGGTTTTCTCTCTTCATTTAAAAATTTAAAGTCCTGGGGCTGGGGATGTGGCTCAAGTGGTAGCGTGCTCGTCTGGCATGTGTGGGCTCTGGGGTCAATCCTCAGCACCACATAAAAAAATAAAGATATTGTGTCCACCAAAAACTGAAAAATACATATTAAAAAATTCTCTTAAAAAAAATTAAAGTCCTGCTGGGCATGGTGGTCCTGAGACAGGAGGATCTTGAATTGAAAAGCCAGTCTCAGCAACTTAGCGAGGCATTGAGCAACTCAGACCTTGTCTCCAAATAAAATACAAAAAAGGGCTGGGTGTGTGGCTCAGTGGTTGAGTGCTCCTGAGTTCAGTACCTGGTTTAAAGAAAAAAAAAATTTATTCATTCTCAGCACCACATAAAAATGAAATAAAGGTATTGTGTCCACCTAAACTAAAAAAATAAATATTTGGGGCTGGGATTGTGGCTCAGCGGTAGAACGCTCGCCTAGCACAGATGGGACTCGGTTTCGATCCTCAGCACCACGTARAAGTAAAGGCATTGTGTTGTGTCCTACACCTAAAAAATAAAAAATTTAAAGCCACATTTCCTACCACCTCTTGACTTTGCTACCTCTTGGGGTTTTCATATCCCTGATAAAGACAACTGGTCTCATCTTTCCWGATTGTCATGTTAGATGTGGTTGGTATGTGAACAGAAGTTTAAATTGTAGGCATAAAACTTGGTTGTGTTCAGATGGATTCTACTGACCAACCTGTGGTGGGTACTTGACTTCTGTGGGAGTTCCAGAACACTCAAGAATTAGCACCTTTTTGTCTTTATTCTTCTGGTTGTACTCTGTGCCCATAATGTTTTGAGGATGCTACATGGTCATAAGTAGCATTTCTTTTTCTCTGAAGGATGCACTATACATATCACAAATAGTGTTCTATTTTCAAAGAAGCCTGGAAGATATTTTTAACAAATTTGTATACTGAGGATATCAGGGCATTGYCATTAGTATTTGAGTATACATTACTGGATTGGGAAATGTTTTACAGTATTAACTTTCTCATTAACCTAGTTTATAGTTAGGTACAGTTGTGCATGTCTTGTAATCCCAGTGACTCAAGGCTGAGKCAGGAGGATTGCAAGTTTGAGGCCAGCCTCAGCAAAAAGGATTGGGACAGTTGTAATACGTCCCTGAGTTCAATTCCAATACCAAAAAAACAAAACCTAGCTCCTTCTCCACCGTCCCATAAAGAYAGCTAGGTGCAGGTTTCTCAATTTGTAAAATTCCAAGTAATTAAGATATTTTGTGCTAAATTAGATGTCTAGCATACTGGTTTGAGTAGGAACAGATAACAGATAATTTTTAAAAAAGTAACAGTGTTGGAGCTGGGATTGTGGCTCAGTAGTAGAGTGCTCACCTAGCACRTGTGAAGCACTGGCTTTAATCCTCAGCACTACATAAAAATAAAATAGAAGTATTGTGTCCACCTACAAGTAAAAAAGTATTTTTAAAATAATAATGTCAATTTAMTTTCTCTGCAAATTGGGAGGATGAAGTTTAATTTTTTGAGTTGATAAGACAAATGAAGTAAAGGCTTTACTTCATTTGTCTTAGATATTCTGCTGGAGGATGGAAAGAGTCAGCAAAACCACTATGTAGTCCAAACTTAGGGAAGTAAACCTGTACCCATCTGTCTCAAAATGTAGGTTGACTGATGTTTACTGGAATCCCTGACTAGTCAGAAGTTATCATTAATGGTGTGTGGTGGTGACTATTGTAGATGAACTGGTATTGTAGTGAAAGTTTAAAAAGTGAGCTTCCAGATTAAAATAGGGCTTACTGTTAACTAGGTTGTAATGTGTAGTTATTAGAGGACTTTAGTTCATTACAATAATTTTTAATACATAGGAATTTTCTGTGCCTGTTTTCCACCATAAAGCACTGTTACTTCAGATAAAACTCCTTTAATCTGACTTCTTGGCTCTAAGGCCTAATTGCTGTATTTAGGTTATTAGGAGACAATATTTGAGATCTTTTGCTGGTGGCATGGGCATGTAATACCAGCTACTCAGGAGGCTGTGGTAGGAGGATCTCTGAGCCCAGGAGCTTGAAACCAGCCTGTTTGTTTAAAAAAAAAAAAAAATGAGAGATGGATTAAGCCAATTCGTGAATTGTAACAACAGAAAGCCCATTCTAATCACTCAACATTTTGAAGTTTAAGCTATCTTATCACTGAAAATATATTCTTCATGCAGTTGATTTATGAGTGGATTTCAATATGAGGAAATAGTGTTGATATGACTACAAATTTAAATGGAATCATTTAAAATACCTGGTTTGCTCACTTAAATTCTGTGTGTGCTTGAGCTGGCTGGAGTCTGTGGCATGCTCATTGGCAAGAGTTGGTAAGAGCTATGCTTTTTTTCCCCACAGYTTTATTGTGGGAAAGCTAGTCTCTTGCATATTCTTGTTCTGAATGAACTGGAATAATTTAGCTTTTGGTATTTTCTGAGCTTACTAGTATTGTCTAACGAGTCAATAAAGACCCCCAGAAAACACTGATTGAGGCCTCTATCTGCTTTTGACTGAGTAAATTGGAGCCTCTAGCCAATGAGACAGTATCTAAGTCAGTCTCATTCAGAATGATTTAGGTTAACTTTTACAAGAAAATGCTTTAGGCTTATAACTGTCAAAGGTCTAACCCATACACTGTAAGGTTACACATTCTAAGTCTAGATTAAACTTGAATTAAATTGAAACCACTGACTTTAGAATCAGATCAGATGTTAACTGGATTAGAATCTAGCCTAACCTGTCTCAAAATGTAGGTTGACTGATGTTTACTGGAATCTCTGACTAGTCAGAAGGTATCATTAGTTAACATTCTCAATAATGAGGAATTCTTGCTTGTAGAAACTGAAGGCTCAGAAGAGGAAGATAAAGAAAATGACAAGGCAGAAGAAACACCAAATGAATCAATTCTTGAAAATAAGGTAAGTTGTTGTTTGATACTGTAATCTGCTCTTATTGTAGGATTGTCGTTAACTCCTGTAGGCATGATTATTGTAGATACCCACTCCTGGTAAGGAATCRGGACTCTATCCATGCTTAGAATGGACAGATCTGAGCTGGGTGCCAAGCACCTGTAGTCCCAGTGACTCAGGAGATAGAGGCAGGATGATTGCAAGTTTAAGGCCAGCCTTAGCAAATTGGCAAGATCCTGTCTTAAATTTAAAAAAAAAAAAAAAAAATAAAAAGAATGGGATGGATATAATAGTTCAGTGGTAGAGCATCCATGAGTTCAGTCCCCAATACCGCCCCCCCCCCCCCACCGTGCCCATGGCCATGGACAGATCTTTTGATTCCTAGGGCTTCCTGTCTATTTTTTTTTTTATTGTTGGTCGTTCAAAACATTACATAGTTCTTAATATATCATATTTCACAGTTTGATTCAAGTGAGTTATGATCTCCCGATATTACCCCGTATACAGATTGTTGTATCGCATCAGTTACCCTTCCATTGATTTACATATTGCCATTCTAGTGACTGATGTATTCTGCTGTCTATCCTATTCTCTACTATCCCCCCTCCCCTCCCCTCCCCTCCCCTTTTCTCTCTCTACCCCCTCTACTGTAAATCATTTCTTCCACTTGTATTATCTTGTCTTACCCCTCCTTTCCTCTTATATGTATTTTTTTATATCCCTGAGGATCACCTTCCATTTCCGTGCGATTTCCCTTCTCACTCCCTTTGCTTCCTGTCTATTATGACAGTATCCAACATATTACTGACACAAAGAGAATCAGGAGAGAAAACTTTTTTACCCATTCTGCAAATTTTGAGGGGGAGAAAGTCTGAATTTTGAATTGYAAATAACTTTTTCAAGTCATAATACATTAAACATTTAGATTTATACTGTAGAAAAATGCTTGTCTTATACTTCTGCCTAATARCAATGATTTGGATATTTAGTCTCTTCAAGAAAATGAAGAAGAGGAGATTGGGAACCTAGAGCTTGCTTGGGATATGCTGGACTTAGCAAAGATCATTTTTAAAAGGTAAAACTCTTGTTGCTTCTTAGGATGGGAATTTGGTTGAAAATAAATAGAAAGCCATTAGGGTTAGACAAGTATTATTAAGATTTCTAATCAGTTTCCTTCTTTTAGGCAAGAAACAAAAGAAGCCCAGCTTTATGCTGCACAGGCACATCTTAAACTTGGAGAAGTTAGTGTTGAATCTGGTAATGCATTTTCATCTTACTTTCTAAYGTCCCTCACTCTCCCATTCCTCCTTTAATAGATTCTCTGTAATTCAGCTTGATTGATTATAGTTAGGTAGTTGACATTGAAAATATAGTAGGTTTGAGTTTCCTATGATCCTAGAACAGTGAACAATCTTTTAATTAATAACTCTGATCTTTCAGTAGGATTTTGTTTTTTTGGTGTTGTGGATCAAAGCCAGGACCTCACAAATGTGTAGAGCACATGCTCTTCCACTGGGCTACAAGCCCAGCACTTGTCAGGTTTTTTAAAAAGCCATTCTGTCATTCTAGGTCTGAATTCTGCAGCTACTTCATACAAGTGCTGGCAATTCTTGTTCTTCTTTCTTAGAGAACTATATCCAAGCTGTGGAGGAGTTCCAGGCTTGCCTAAACCTGCAAGAGCAGTATCTAGAAGCCCATGATCGTCTTCTTGCAGAAACTCACTACCAGCTTGGTTTGGCCTATGGATATAACTCTCAGTATGACGAGGCAGTGGCACAGTTCAACAAATCTATTGAAGTCATTGAGAAGAGAATGGGTGAGTAGAAGCTGCTACCCTCAATTGACCCTTCTCCAAAAAAAATTCTTTTATGGTAATTTTTATGCGTCGTCTTTGTAGCTGTACTAAATGAACAGATGAAGGAGGCTGAAGGATCATCTACTGAATATGAGAAAGAAATTGAGGAGTTGAAGGAATTACTACCTGAAATTAGAGAGAAGATAGAAGATGCGAAAGAGTCCCAGCATAGTGGGAATGTAGCTGAATTGGCTCTGAAAGCTACTCTGGTCCGTTCATTTTCTTTTTAAAGTTTTCATAATAGCGTTTGTGGTACTGTTAATGTTCCATTTGCTAGGAACTTGGTTTCTATCTCTGAGATGACACGATATGGATAAATGATGCTTTTAATCCCAAGTGTGTGAAAGATCTTGCCTACTAAATGGCTGTCACTAGGATTTCAAGTGTTATTAATCAGCTATTGTGATGGGTACCTGTTATAAAACTGAGTGACCTGGGTTCTCTGGGAACCTACTTGAATTTGTCATCTTTCACACAGGTGGAGAGTTCTACTTCAGGTTTCACTTGTAGTGGAGGAGGTTCTTCAGTTTCCATGGTGGGTATTCATTCAGGTGTTTGTCACTTACTATTAGGCCTCACTGATTGTCTCAATAGTTTGTACATTGCTAACAAAGCCTTTTTTTTTTTTTTTTGTCAGATTGCCAGTAGAAAACCAACAGATGGTGCTTCCTCATCAAATTGTGTAACTGATATTTCCCACCTTGTCAGAAAGAAGGTAAATTTTCATGTGAATGTTTACCTCATTTAGAAAACTCCTATGGCCCAAGGACTATGAGGATCAGTCAGATTTTGGAAGCCAGTAGGTTTTCTTTGTCAGAWGTTGTTCATCAGACCTGATACATGAACTCCTGCCTGCCTTCTTTTGCTTGTTACTTCAACAGTTCTTTTCTCTGGGTTGGGAGTCTCTTTACTCCTGCTTTGTTTCCTGGCTCATGTACTGGAATTTATACATATCTCTTGTTCTCTACTTGTATTGTGTGGTGCTAGTGATCAAATCCAAGGCCTTGCATATACTAAGCAAGTGCTGTTCCACTGAGCTGTACCCAGCCCCAGATGTTCACATCTCTGCTCCTCATCCTAGTTACACTACTTTTCCTTTAGTCAGGAGGCTCGACGAATATGTTGGGACAGACCAATTTTATTTTGCACAGTACAGATTGGTATCTGCCCCTTGTGGCTAGGTGGAGAGACAGAGCCGTGAGTCCTACTGTACCACAGGGAAGTGTTTTGTAAGTTGTATTTTTAAAAACGTAAAGCACATTTGTGAAGTCTTCACAATTATATCTTTAGAGGAAACCAGAAGAAGAGAGCCCCCGGAAAGATGATGCAAAGAAAGCCAAACAGGAGCCAGAGGTGAATGGAGGCAGCGGGGATGCTGTCCCTGGTGGAAATGAAGTTTCCGAAAACATGGAGGAGGAGGAAGAGGTGGGCAGTTAAGCAGGGATTGGCCTCTTCCCTCATCTTTTCAAGGATTGGAGAAATCAGTACTCCTAAGTGCATACTCCCACCTTGAGCCTTGCCAGCAAGATCATTTCTGCTTGATCTTTTTCAAAACGCAGTGTATGATTATTGGTACAGATAACTGTAGAGAACAAAGCAGAGTTGGAAGACCTGTGTTTATTTCCTCTTGCCTGAAACCTGTTTTTTGCATAAGATGGTTTTGTTTAAACCAGGTTACTGAAGCCCAGGCTCCCTGTTTGTTTTTCAGGCTGAGAATCGGGCAGAAAGCCGGGCCGCAGTGGAGGGGACAGTGGAGGCTGGAGCTACAGTTGAAAGCACTGCATGTTGAGAGGGAACAGAACCTTCCTCCCAAGAGAGTGTTTTTGTATATAATGTATTTTTTCACTTTTGGGGATTCTTTTTGTATAACTTCAATAAAGATTGTAAGCAAAGGTTGAGGCTTTGATGGTTTTTTTCTTAAATATTGGCTGAATCCATGCCTTGGGGCACTCTCGGTTTTATATTATAGTGGCCAAAGGTACTTTTTCTCCCCACTTCTGTATTGATCTCTGTTGGAAGTTCTAACGCCAACTCCTGTCTGATGTGGAAGTGATAAATTGTGATTTTTCCATCGGTGCTATATTTATCAAGTTACTTGACTGAACTCAGTTGTCTTGCAGACTTTGTGGTGCTGTCCCTGGATGGGGGCTACAAAAACAAGATTTGGTGAAGATCTTGCTGTTTGGTGCTGAAAATGGACTAACAGTCAGGCCTTTGGTGGTACCTGTCTTCAGTTTACCTCATCTCCATCTAGGGTTATATCCTATCCTGGAAAAAGAATTCTGAAGACGACTTGGGGGAGAAAGTGATCCCTGTGGAACTATAGAGAGAAAACGGGCTGTGACTGACGTAATGGACAACATGTGGTTGGAAAAATGTGTGTGTGGGGGAAGGCTGGCTGGTTTTGATATTTACTGTATAGAAAGATTGAAAAATATCTAAACTTGGAATTGTTAACACTGTCTGTAGTTTTGACTTCTCAAAATAAAGATGTGAATAAAAAGCTCCTGGTCTTGCATTGTGCTTAAAGATCTTTCAATGGGATCCTGAGCTGCCTGGAGCTTTTGAGCTTTTCAGTATGAGATATGGGGCTAAGAGCAAAAAATTGGCTCAGCAATTTTTGGATCCCAATTTTGGATTCCAGGGATGATGATGGTCAAGACACAACAAAATGTAAGCCTGTTGTCYAGGGCACAGGGTTTGTGTGAGAAACAGCCAACAGTCCTTAGTTTAATAAGTTAGAATCTCCTGTTTTAACAACCCAGTATCAAAGGCTGAGGGAGCTATATAGGACTCCCAAGTCAACCCCATTTTGTAAAGGTGGTTATTTTTTAAGTATTGGGGATTGAATGCAAGGGTACTTAACCAGTCACATCCCAGGTGCTCCCCCCCACCCCTTAAAAATATTTTTGGTTGTAGATGGACACAAAACCTTTGTTTTATTTGGTGCTGGGGATTGAACCCAGGGCCTCACACATGCTAGGCAASGGCTCTACCACTGAGCTACAACCCCAGCCCTTTTTTATTTTGTGACAGGGTCTTGCTAAATTGCTTAGGGCCCAGCTAAATTGCTGAGGTCAGCTTTGCACTTGCAATCCTCCTTCAGCCCCCTTCCTGAGCCACTGATTACAAGGGATTTTCTTAATACAAGAGAAAATGTCTCTCTGGGCTGGTCATTGACTCACATTTGCAGAATCTGGCTTATCTTGACTGAATTTCCTTCTTAGAGATGTTTTTATGTTGTATGTTTAGGTCTTGAAGTCCCAATATGGAATTTTCTCAACTATAACATTATTGCCTTAGGGCCTTAATTTGGAATCTTTCTTTAAAGCCTCAGGAATTCCCTCTTTATTGAAAGGCTTCTAGGCAAAAGTCATTAGAAAGACATGCCTGGCTATGATCCCAACTATTTGGAAGGGAGGAGGATTGCAAGTTTGAGGCCGGCCCAGGCTACTTAGTGAAAAATCAAAGGGCTGGGGGTGTAGCTCAGTGGTAGAGTAACCTGGGTTCAAGCCGCAGTACTAAAAAGAAAAAAAAAAAATCCTGATGAATCTGATATGAAATTTAGCACTAAAGTTGGCTTTTACAAAAAGAGAGTGCCAGGTAATATTGTAAATACCTGACAGATTCATTTAATCCTCAGTAAATGGTTACAAAAGAAAACAGTTGGAGAAAGATCAACTACTTGCCAAAGGTGATACAGATGTGRTTAGAATTCACAAGCTCATTTGCTTCTAAACTTTATGGAGTAGTAAAAGCTACAGGTCTGGGAATAAGCCTCACGTTCCCTCTAGCTCCCCTGTGGGGATSGGTCATAGCTCAAAATTTCATCTTTAGTCTTGACTCTGCCAAAGGACTTTTCTGTAGGAGGTGGGGGATCAGCAAAGCCAGCCTTGGGGCTGAGGGAACTTGTTTCCAGTGAAGATGATATGGATACCTGTGGAAAATAAGCAGGTTCTTCAACAATCTAAAAATTGGTAAGGAACATAGGTTCTGGAGTTGAACTACCTTAGAATCAACTTACTGTGAATAAAAGGTAGTGTTAACTTGGTAAATTCTTGCTTTGATTTTGTTYACATTGCATTATCTAACAGATGATTGTGAGGATTAAGCACAGAAAGCAATTKGTAGTGACTGGCACATAGTATCAATAACAGTTGGCTATTAACCACCCACTTGTATTGCCTCTAGCTATAACTGGGCCCTCACCGGTGGGTACTGGTACTCATGGGCACTTGTTGGATTAATCTCTGCCAACGTCTGGACATCTGCATCTCTTGCATTCACCAGTCGCAGAAAGAGCTCAGTCTGACCTGCCTGGAGAGAGGTGAAATGGTACTCTATCTGTACCTTGGAGTAGACCTTATCCCCACCCTCCACACTGACCTGGGGAATCCCATTCAGCTGCCCAAAGCTGAGGCTGGGGTTCACAGGAAGAGCCCGAAGTGGAAGGCGCCAACGGCCACTTAGCACACGCWGATCCCGGTCAAATAGCACCAGTGAGGCCCAAGCCTTTGGCTGTGGTGCCCTAGCCCATGCCAACCCCTGCCAGGCTTGTAGCTTACACACCAAAGATACTGACGGTGATGGCGGCAGCCTGAAGAACAATCAAAATGTCAGAGGCCAGAGTTGAAGTCCCTTCCTAAATATTTCCTAGGAATTAAGCCTCAGAGCCAATGAATGACCTTTATATAGAGGATGAGGGGCATACTCAATTGTGGCAAGAATACCAAAATCACAAACCCCATTTAACTGACCTGGGCACAGGCTGCCTGCTGGCAAGGATGGCACAGTTTCCCATGGGCCCAGGAGCTGGAGGTGGGGGCAAGCAAAAGGCTGGGGGCAATGCTGTGGTCCCTCCTGTATCCTGTCCATCTCGGGCCAAGCCAGTCAGTAGTTGCACCCAAATCCAAGAAGCATCAAGGCCTCGAAGGAAGTCATAGAAAATGAACAAGCCAGCCCTAGGGGACACAAGTCAGAGTACATAAACATCAAACTCCTCTCACTCCCTCTCTATCCTCCTCTCACCCTCCCTCTACCCAGTCTACTGGACAGCCCTAGGAGTTCTCCTTAACTTATTAGTGGACAAGTGAAAGGGGTTGTCCAAGGAGGGAGCAGGCCTCACCCGGGGTCATATGGTGCAGGGCCCAGCACATCAGATGTGGGCAAAAGGAAGTGTGGGTCCAGACTCAGGTTCTTTGTCATGGTTCCAGGAAGTGGTGGCTGTGAGGAAATGAGCTGACTTCTCCAGAAAGTCTGCAAGCTGCCCATGCTCCCCTGACCACATAGAGCTGAACCATCCCCCAACTCCCCCTCACCCCATCCTGGCATCCCTGGGTCCTCACAGCCTTTTCTGCACCACCCAAGAACTGGACGTTTGTGGAGCCTGGAAGTGGTGGCAGTGGGGGTGCCACMGGTGGAGGGAGGTGTGGGGGATCTCCCTTTCCCCCTGGACTTGTGCAGGGACCAGCCAGGAGTTGTGCCTCCCTGGGCCCTAGGAACAGAGGAAGACTTAGGGTGCCCCTGCATCAGAGGAAGCAGGTAACTGTACTGAGAAGCCACAGACACACACACACACGGACACATGGRGATTGCATGGACACGAACTGAGGGGGGCACAAACTTGGGTTTCATTCCCCGGGAATCATCCTTCCACCCCTTCCTGAGTTAGGTCTGCTGGAATGAAGTTGGGGTGCTCACTGACCCCAAAACGTCTGGGCCCGGCATCTCTGCATCTGCAAGGCCAGGATATTCTCCTCTAGGCGCCGGTTTTCTGCTTCCAATACTAGAAGCTCCCCCGAGGCTGCACTTGCTTTATCTGCGAAGAACAAGTCTCACCTGTTACCTTTGATCTCTGGTGACCACGCCGGTCCGGATCTGAGCAGGTCTCCAGTGTTTAGAGCTCTCTGGACAAGTCTTTTGACTTTCAGCTCATATTCTAGCTACAGTCACCCAGGATTTCTACACCTTGGGGTTTTTGCTCAGGTGGTTCCTACGCCAATGACATCCTCCCTCACGCCCTCTTCTCCTCCCAGATCTAAGACCACCGCTGCAGAGAGGTCCTCCTGTTTGATCCCTCTTGTTCACCCCTGCGATTCTGCGACCGCCGCAGTTCCAGTGCTGACGCCTCCACTTGTAACTGCCATATCTTGCCCAGAACACCGGGGTCCCGGCCCCCGCCTCGCATGTAGGCCTCACGCAGGGCCCTAGGGAGCGGGGGTGGGTACAGAAAGAAAGTAAGACAGTCTTCCCAGGATGATCAGCACTCCGTCCCTGGCCCGTCCCGCGCATCGGACCTCACCGGATCTCGGCAGCTAAGGTTCCTGGGTTGACCTGCAGCACAGGACAATTGAGCTCAGCATCCCGCCAGGCATTCGGCAGAGTCCTGGCGCGGAGAGACGACGTCACGCATCCAATAGGGCTTCCCGCCGCCCTGGCCCCGCCTCACGCTTCCAGACCGGCATCCGAGGGGGTCTCACCCGGTCTGGGGCTGAAGTTCTTGAAGGCGCGTTTTCAACATCTCTAGAGCTCCCCGTGTCTGCCCGGCCTCTGCCTGGAGTTCTCGAAGTTGCCGTTCTAGACCGAATAAGCGGGATATCCCTCCCCGGGGCCCACCTTGGAGGCGCCAGCTTAGTTCTGAGGGAGTAAGGGACAGAGTCGGAACGCGTTCGAACCCCGCGGGCAAGGGGCGGAGCAAGTCCCTATCCCCGTCTCTCCCTCACCGTTGCCGCGTCGCTCCAGTGCCCGGCTCTGCGCTTGCGTCTCTGCCACGCGCCGGGCGCGGGTCCTATACAGCGCCTGCAGTCTCTCGTTAGGGCTCCCTGCAACCTCGGAGGTGGGGCCTTCTGTCATCCAGGGACCCATTTTCTGTAAGGACAGCCGCAGCCACTGCACCTGGAGTTACAGTGATCCGCGATCTTTGTTGGGATAATCTGCTCCATGTATGATCTGAAGCTACGAAAGAAGGGGTGGCCGCTTCAAGTTTATAGCTCTGGGGAAAGCTGGGTGGGTGTTACCTCCTCTGTTAACCTTTTTAGAGCAGATGTGCTGGCCTCCTGCTCCAAGCGGCCCTGGAGTTCTCCCGACACAACCTGGGAACAGAATGCAAAATGAGGAATCTTGATCTCCCAGCTCTCTGGAATATCCACCAGCCCCCTCCTTACCGCGGTACCCTGTGATTCCGTAGCTACTGAGGGCTGTGCTTTATTTGTCCCTTCCCGGGTCAGGCGGCCAATGCAAAAGCGCTGAGTGTGGATGGCCAACAGGGCCCCGGAGCGGAAAACCATGTCACAGGACCCACAGGGCAAGAGCTCTGGCTCCCCAGAGTTGGAGCCCATGTTAAAGGAAACTGCCTCCTGACACCAGCCTAGTCCTGCAGAAGGGGCAGAAGGAAAAGCTCAGGTCTAGATCTTTCACAGGTTTGTTTGGGGAGGAGCTTTAGTTGCCTGGGCAGCAATTACAGGCCTGGGCAGGTTAGGAGAATGGGTGGGGTAACCTTACCACCTTTGAGAAGCTCTAGGCTTGAAAGAGTGTCAGTCTGTTACAACTAGATTCCTTCTAGACTAACCATGACTTTGTCATCCTTGGTCATTTCATGGCCTCAGACATGCAAGTTTTTTGTTTTTTGTTTTTGTTTTTTTTTGTTTTTTTTTTGTACCGGGGATTGAACTCGGGGGCACTCGACCACTGAACCACATCCCCAGACCTATTTTGTATTTTATTTATTTTTATTTAGAGACAGGGTCTCACTGAGTTGCTTAGAGCCTCGCTTTTGCTGAGGCTGGCTTTGAACTGATGATCCTCTCGACCCCGCGTCTCAGCCTCCCGAGCTGCTAGGATTACACCGCGCCAGGCACAAGTGTATCTTTTTAACGACTGCACTCCAATGTGGATATAATAGAAGTTAATTGCTATTCGTCAGTTCAGGGAACACCTGGAAGAGGTGGTGTTCTGTCAGGAAACCATCTTTTCCCTGAACTGAAAAGCTCTTCCTAGTAAAATGCATTTCTGGAAGTAACTACAACTTTTGCAYAACCAAATCACACCAGAGGCAGCACTCTGCCCCGCCCCCAACTCCCATCCTCAGATTCCCCTTCCACCCCCAGTTGTAGAAGGGAATATCAGCACAGTCCAAGCAATGGAAACTGCCAGAGAATGTAATAAATCAGATGAGAGAATCAAGTTCGGAAAGGAATCCCTTCACTCAAATGCTAAACAGGTTCTTTTCTGCTGGTCAAATTATCTTCCACAAACCGACCCTCCCCACCCCGACATTTCAAAGAAGCCCTTCTTTCTAAACAAGACAGGGACTTAAAAGTATTTCCTCCCGCAGATTATGTTTCAAATATATGATCTCAATTCAATTTTGGAGGGAGAATGGGAAATGGGGGGAACTTTTGATCTCTTAAGTCTTCTAAGATCTCTCACAGTAGGGCTTTTCAAACTTTAATGTACAATTATCCAAGGTTTTTTCTTTTTTTATGGTACTGGGGTACCAAAGCCAAAAATCTCAACCTTCTCTTCTCCAAGCATAGAATCTTTGCTACAATATATATTTTTTAGTTCATTTTATATTACTTCATTGATTTTTTAATTAAATTTTTTTTCTAGTTGTAGATGGACAGAATATCTTTTATTTTTATGTGGTGCTTAGAATCAAACCCAGTGCCTCACACATGCTAGGCAAGTGCTCTGCTCTGTCACTGAGCTACAGCCCCAGCCCTATTTCATTGATTTTAAGACGCACTTTTTTTTTTTTTTTCATATTACAACAGTGATGTCAGGATTCACAATTATAGATGCTAGGACTGGCAGTGTGGCTCTGTGGTAGAAAGCTTCCCTAGCACATGCAAAGCCCTGGGTTTGATCCACAGTAACATACACACACGCACTATCTTACATTCAATGGAACATGATAGCTAATAATTCTTATTGCTCTATTTCAACTGACTTCACCATATTTTGCATATGGATAATTCTACTTGCAGTAGGCAGTGTAATACACTAATAGATTGTACATCCTGCTGATCTCTCTGCATCTACCCTCTTGTCCTCTCTGGCCCAGAGCTCACTTTACAAGTTAATTATCTTTCTAATAGGCAATCAGGTGTGCTCTTGGTCCTCTGTATCTACTAGGGACAAAGTACTGTAGGTACAGCAAAGAGTGCCAGATGCTTATTCTTTTAGCTTCTTTTTGTCTATCAAATATTGGCCTAAGATTTCATCTTTTCTAAAACAGCTGTTTATTCTCTTCCCTACAGGCCTAGGCACTCCTTGCAACCCTTGTCTTTCATAACGTCTGGTCATAAAACAGGGCTTGGAAAGTATCTGTTGAATGAAAAAAACAGCCAGCACTGGCTTGAGTCATTTCTAGCCCCCCCAAGTTCTTTAGTAGGAAAATTGAAGCAAGACCTTTCTTTTAAAAAGCCCAGTGGTAAATACATGGCACTGAAAATGAAACGGTTTCAGGGAGGAAAATCTGGTTTCTGACTTCATTAAACATGTGCGTCAAAAAATATCTGCTAGGGTATGTCACTTAGTGATAGAGTGCTTGCTAATTTTAAAGAAAACATACTTCTTACACAAGACAATTTAAACTGATGCAAAATATTTATTCCAAGTTAGTTATTTTATGCAGTAGTTTTCCCCCTCAACAGACTTGTGATAACCACATCTTTTAAATCTGTAAATAATGTTATCAAAATAATCTTAWTCTTTGAAATCTCACAAAAATTTATATTTTACAATCCACCCTGAATATCAAGGCTGCAAGAATAACACATTTCCTATATCCAAATATTTTACAGCTGTACCCAAAAAGGAAAAAAGAAAACAAAAACAAACAAACAAAAAAACCACATATG